GTCCTAGTCGGCAAATTTCAAATGTCCGCTAGTGATGTGGCGCTACAATATTTGGCTATGTCTTGGCTACTTTAATATTATTTTTACGTGTTTTAGCTGGCAACACTCATTCGACCATGAAAGGGAGCCAGTATTTAAACGAGGCTTAATAAAATAATTTTTAACGATACAATAGCGACGATTATTAGTTTAAAAAAAATTTTGTTAGGCTTACCATCGATGAAAATTCAACGCGAAGTTGGTTAATAGCAATATACTAATATACTAATTACATGGGATATAATAATACACTACACTAATAATGGATTTTTTCATACTTTTCGGTTATCCGACCAACCCCAGTCCCCAATTGAGTCGGATAATCTATGCTCTACTGTATATATTTTGTAGTCATGTATATTTAAATTTAAGTACAGTACATATTATATACACGAGTTATATTGTTATAAATATATAAATTATGATTTGTATTTTTAAGTAAATATAAAAACTAATGCAATATTAACTGTTAGTTTTCCTGTATAGGATTAGTTGTAAAACATAAGCAACTTTAACTTGAAAACAAAAATACAGCTTTGAATATAAACAACCTATCATATTAAAATGAAGTAAAATAAAAAATTTCATATTTAGCTTAATTTGTAAAAAATAAAACGAAAAAAAAATTAATAAACTTAAATAACTGAAACAATTAAAAAAATCTCTCTTTACAATATAGACAAATATAATAATAATAATAATCTTTATTTGTCGTAAAAGGCTTTCGCCTGTTACAAGGGCGTTTTATTTTAAAAAACGCATATTAATTTAACATCTCATATATTCTCGTCTTATCAACAATGATATAGACAAATATATATGAACTAGTACCCATCAAAACATTTGCTTAAAAAAATTAAGTTGCAAATAAAGAGAGAAAATAAATGTTTTTACATAGTTTATTAATATAAGACATTCAGTATGCAACATAAACAAGTTAAATAAATGAACTAAGAGCATCAGTGCATATATAAACTGTTTAGTAAAAGAACTGGTTTCGGTGTGCAGTGTTCAGGAAAAACCAGTTGCTTTCAGTGTCAGCAATAAACACACTGTGTTCAGACTTGGTTTTCCATCAGTGCAACAATATGGTTGCTCCCATATTACAAATTTCATTACAAAAAGTAGAAACTTGCTTTTGGATGAAGAACTATCTTAGACAATTGAAAATGATACCAATGTTATATAAATAATGTTGTATGATATTCTTTTTTTGTAGTAGTGGTGAAACATTGTAAGAGTTGCATTTCCAACAAGTTGAAAACAGACAATTAATTGTTCAATAATTCTTTGCTACATTTATGTCATTTACTATGCAATGAAAGAACAGGTAATGATACACAGAAGCTAATTTACAGTTAACAGGTATCCTTGCTTAATGCAAGATTTGATTAACATGCAAAATTAATTAAGGCAATCACTTTATATACAAGGCAGAAGTTTTAATTAACACAGCTTTACCAGCTGTCTTTACTTAAGGTAGATATATTTTTCTGGGCAAATAAGGTAATGGTGAATATGCTATTTTTGTGCTGAGGGCGATTTCTGACACAGATCTACAGTTTAAAATTATGATAGTTGAACATTTACATCTATGAATACTTTTTTGTTATGACATAAGTATGTGTGACATATTAAAATGACAAATTCATTATATAAAATATGATTGAATAGTAAAATTAAGCTTAAAATGAATTTAACTGTTCTTAAGTTTTCATTTAAATTTAAGGGAAGAAAGAAATTTTAAATTTCTTGGGGAAATTGTTTTCATTCTAGGAGAATCTGCTGATTGGGACTTGGCAACAGTGCACCGAGTGAGCTGTTCAATTTAATATATTACTGCTAATGTGATACCGTATTCTTGTTTAGAAACTTATTTTAAAACTTGACTTCACATTTAGTGTGCATAAAATTAAATTGAAATGTCTATAGATAAAATGCATATCAGGCATATTATGTAGACTTTTTAAGTTTTGTAAAAGATAAAACACTATGTAAACAGTAAAATATACTCTTAATTAATTTATATGGGAAAGATCGTCTAAAATGTTGAATGTGTCAGATGTGGTTTAAAGTTTTGTTCAGAAAATTTTGAACTAAAGGTTACTAAATGTACAGGGGACCTAAAAGCTGTTGAAGAAGAGTAATTTCAAGAAAAAAATTGTTAAAATTTTACAAATAACTCATGAACTCAACAAATCACGGCACGTTACAGACATGATTATGTTCCACATGAAGTGGGGAGAGGGAATCTGGATTGAATATAATTTTGTCTAAGGTAGGCAGCTCTAAGGTTTCATTTTATTTTTAATTTAATTATTTATTTTTATCATAAAAATCTTTTTACAAATGACAAAATCAAAATATTTATTAACCAAAAATTTGTTCTGGTGGGTTGTGATTGTTCAAGTCAGGTACCGAGGTACAGTACCACTGTATTTGATTAACACGATTTTGACATACATAGTAGCATCAAGGAATTAACTAATCGTGTTAATTAAGGGATACGTGTACTAAACTTGTCCCATTAGTACTTTAACAAATTGAAAATAGATTTTACCTTAGCATAGTCTGTACAGATAAATAAATACATACATTTGATTCTGTCTCTGGATAATTCAACAAAGACTATTATTAATAAACGTATGTCCATATATTCCTCATCTGTGACTTTGTTTCTTTGAAAAGAATTGAATAAACCTTTAAATACAATGTAAATACCTTTAGTTAATTTGCATGTAGAAATGAATATCCAAGTTGATATTTAATCAAATATAGTTTTTCATTTCTTTCACACAAAGAGTTTTTTTCACTTATGTCAGTCCTAACCAAAATTTAATTTACAGTAATTTTTCTATTAATAACAAAATTAAAAAATAATCTGAAATCAATAAAAATTAAAAACTAATTGAGAATGAATAAAAGAATGTCAACTTAAGAAGTTTATTTTCAGGAGGTTTATTTTTATAGTGGTTGAAAATAAGTTCAATAGCCAACATGACAAGAGAACAAAATTGGGCACATTTTTGCTTCTAATTACTTTAAATGAAGTTAAACAGTAAAATTGAAGCAATAGAGCTCATCTACATTAAATAAGCATCAAAATAATGTACAAAACATCCCTTCTCATTATTCACTATCAGCTTGAGGTAACCTTTAGAACGATTACTTCTTTACTAATTGTACTGTACACACAAATTCAGTTATAGTGTTAATTTGTTCCATGCCACACTTTTATGAAATTATTTTTAGTTTGAAAGAAATTCATAAAGTACTTTTACTTATAGGTTTTTCTCACACAATATTTTTATCAATTCCCTTAAAAAACATAAATGGGGTTTGAATGTACTATGAATATCTACAATATTTTGCCATACATAAACAAAAGTGGTCTTGTACATTTTTTTAGAAAGTGTTGCCATACAGAGTACACAATATGGAACAAAGTTACAGAAGGAAATTTTGTATGTTCAAAATGGCAACACTGTATCACATGGTATATCTGGTCAACCTGCCATTTTTTGTTTTTGTGAGAATGAAACATTGTGTGTGTTTGTATAGTAGTGCTTTTTCATTATTTTAAAGAGGGTAAGTTGTGATACTTTTGGCATATTTGTCTGTAATAAGTACTGTCTTATAACAGTAACATTTTCTTGTATAACTTAAAAATAGTCCTGAAAATACCAACGACAAATCACATAAGTAGGAGCCTTTGGTCTTTCCTAAGTTTGACACATGCTTTTTCT